GCTTTTAAAACAAAAAAAGTTTAATATCTAAATTTGCTTTTTTTGTTTGTTTGTTTGTTTCAGCCAGTTGGTGCTGAAACAAAAAAGTTCAGTGACCTATAATTATGGCAAATAATTAACAAATAGAACCTGAGAGGTAAAAGACTAAGAATTAGAAAGAACCCATCTGCATGGACTATTTCCCCTATGTGCCTGAAAAATTCACGTTTCTCTATCTACCTTCTTTTGCGCCAAGCAAGACTAACGTACTACATTCACTGTCAGTCAATCCTTGTTAGACTCTCAAGCTCAAGGATAAAGGCTGTCTGGCATCTTTGTTTCTCTCTGTAGCCCACTCACCTCATAAAGTACCTGGTACATAGAATCTTTAAAATAGCCTTATGACACACATTTTAATGATTAGAATTTTTAGAGGTTTAGTATGTACCAGGCACTGAGCTAATTATATCTCTTACATTGTTTCACTTAATCTTCACCACAACCCAATGGGCAAATATTGTTAAACTACATACAGATAGTGATCATAGCCTGTGTTTACTGATGACTTGCTCATTGAGATTGCTCCAAGCACTTTACATACATTAATTTATTTAATCTTCTCAGCAAACTTATAAGATAGGCATTATCATTATGTTCATTTTAAAGAGGAGAAAACTGAGGCACAGAGAGGTTAAATTACTCATCTAAGGGTACCTAGTTGGGAGAAAAGACAAATTCATACCTAGAATATATGTTTGTTCCTATTAGAACAAATATCTGGCCCTTTCAGGATGAAAGGACCTTAACAGGCAACTTGCCACCAAGGTCTTCTCAAAAGATGGTGTCACATCAGTAGGTCAGCAATGAACTTTGTTGCTAGCATATGGGTCATTTGTCAACATCAGTAGCTAGATCAGCCTTGGTTAGCGGGAGCCCATTCATAGCCTCCTTTCTGCCATAATGGCTACCCTTCCATGCATTCATGGGGCTAGCATTATCGTGGCCCATGACAGAGGCTGGCTGACATCGGCTCAAGTCATTGTGTCTAGCTGATTGTTTAGAGCCTCTTCAGTGACGGATGCTTTTTGATGGGTATTATTATTTGATCAAGATTTTCACACTTTGTCACCTTCTCTAATTGATCTATTCCCATGCCCTTACCCTAGACTTCTTAGTCCCCACTCTTCCAATCTTTCTATTTTAGGCCCCTGACCAACTGACCAAAACATTCACCACTACCCATAAAACTAAGTTTTCTAACGTTGGGTTACTTCTCTTTCCATGCAGAGTAAATGACCAGGTACACCTTCCAAAGCTCTGCACATTGGGAGGATTTCCTCTCATAGCTGTTTCTAAGGCCATTCTTGATTGTCATTGCCATCCACTTTTGACTTGCACCCATATGCCAGGCCAATCCATCTGTGAACCAAGCTTGACTTATTCCTACTCTGTCATTTGGTCATAAGGAACACACGCACACCCCCCTCCACCATATGGTCATAGATGTGAACTGAAGGAGGAGATGTCAGGACATCCCTGGTACATGACATGGGGGATCTGGTCACACGCTCACGATCCTGAGTGGGCCTGTGTGATATTTTGTGAGATGTTCAGCCAGTCTGGGCCTCTATGTATTATTTCATGACAGAGGGTAAAAGAGTTTTACCTGGCACAGGGAATAGACTGTAAATATATATTGATGTCCTATCCAAGAGAACATAAACTGATTCTCCTTTTGACAAGGATGGAAAAGATAGCATTTGCCAGCTCAAGGCTTGCCTACCACATACCTGAAAATGTGCAACCCTGCTCTAGCTAAAGTGCTACATCTGGCATAGCTGCTGCAGTTAAAACCACTACTTGGCTGAATTTGTGATAGTCCAGTGTCATCCTCCAGGATTCACCTGGGTTTTGCAAGACCCAGACTAATGAATTAAATCGAGATACACTGGAGACTAGCATCCCTGCACTCTTTAGGTTTCTAAAGGTACTACTCATCTCTGGCATTCCTCCCAGGATGAAATGTTTTTTATTTATTAGTGGATGTTGGGGGAGTAGTGGTAGAAGTTTTCACTTGGTCTCCCTCATCACAGTAGCTCCTCTCACACAGGTCAAGAAAGCAATGTGGAAGTTATGCTAACTACCATGTTCACGCTAATTATAATGTGGGTACTGGAAAAATGACCATTGTGATCGGCATCTGAATTGGAGAGCAGTCTATGGGACTGAGCTCATAATCTGTGGAACCTGATGCTACCTCTAGGTAAATAGTTCAGAATTGAGTTAGATTGTAAGACACTCAGCTGGTGTGGGAGATTTGCTGGTTGGTGTGGGGTGTCCTACCCTCTTCAAAACACATTGGAATTCGATGCAGAACTCTTTCCAACTATATCACCTCTAGAGATGTCCTCTCCATAACTCTTGGCCCACCAGACTCTCCTGAATTTCATTCTAACCTTGCTACTCACTATGATAATTGTACCACCTGGCTTTTATTATATTAGGACCTTATCATTTCCACTGCTATTAGTAAGTCCATTCTGTAACATCTCTACCACCAACCCTGCCCTTCGGAGGAGAGTTACCACTGGTAGCTCAGAGATGGTGTCTCTCTCACCAGCATATTCTTCATTGTTTTGCCTTCCTGAAGAATGAAGTCATCTCGAGGGCTTTCAAGGCTTAGTCTGTTCATTCTAGCGTGTTCACTTCCTTAAACCTTTAACCCTTTCTTCCACTGCCTGCCATGGCAGTTCTAGCATTTCTACTTTACTTAAGAGAGACTATTACTCTCTCCAAACTTCTAAGAGCCGTTCTAGCAGCATGTCAACACCTTCCCCTGGGATTCTGGCAGGAGTGTTAAAACCTGTATCCCAGAAGAGTAGTTCCATATTGGTGTTGCGCAGACACTTTATTTCTCCAATATGACTTTTTCTCCTTTCTCCCCTTTTGACTCAGTGCCTCACTCAGCACTCTAACTCACCTGTTTCCTTCTCCCTTGCATGTCCACTCCCTTAATCATTAAGCCCTCAGGACAATGAGCTCCCAGTGGCATCAGATAATCTTAGGAACAAGGCCTCAGTTCTATTGACCAGAGACAGGGTTTCAATCAAGACTGAAGACAGTGTCTAGGTTCTGGTTGTGTTTCAGCTCCAGACTCAGAAAGGCAATGAAAGCAGATGAAGCGACGCCATGGCTGACATCAGGGCCAGATGCAGTGACCAACACCCTCGTACCCCAGCGCTGACCGGTCAGCAGACCCCATGACCCTGACCACAATTAATGATTTTCCCCCCAAATACCCCATCCCTTTGGAGCCATCAGGGAGCCAGGTCTTGGAGCATTAGCTCATCTGTGACTCCAAACATGGACCAATCCTCAGCTAATAAACCCTTACTGCCTTTGCTGCAAGTTCCTGTGTGTGTCTAATTGGGCTTTGATGCATCCTGGAAAACAATCACCTTTAGTCCAGTAATATTGGTAAACACCCCCTTATTCAACTTTATGTTTTATCTCCTTCCCTTGATCTAGCACACTTAGATTTAAGTCGCATAAGACACTCTCCTTGCTCCTGAAGTACATGACAGTTAGGTCCTGCAGAACCTTCAGAATGTATTACCTTTCCTCCTTAGCAGGTCCAACACTTAGCTGTTGGTTTATACTGTAACAAGTTATTGATCTAGTGGCTAGGAGGGAAGGTGCAGACAGACCTTGAGGGTCCTGAAGGGCAGAAGTCTCTTAATCACCTTCAAGCCAGAGGAAATCATTAGTTCTAAAGAGTGGTCCCCTGCAGAGTCAGAGGGTTTGAGGAAATCGGGAAATTTAAAATCTGAATGTACCAACCCCAATGTCCTGATCTCTCAGGGCCCCATTTTTTTTCCAATCAGGGCCCTGCCCTTATATAATCGACTTGATTAGGTTGACAATTAAACATTTTTGAACTCTGATATTCTTATGATTACATCCTGGACCTGGTCCTCAGGTTTCTCTGCCCTTCTACTGCAGAAGATTTTCTTAATACGCTGCCAAGGAGGCCCACTAGTTTTCCCATTTAACCTTTAATTAATCATCCTTGGCTTTTCACTGTCTATTTTAAAAGCATTGATTGCCTCCAGCAATAGCTATCTAATACAATTGTTTTTATAATTCCTACTTCCCCATATTTCCTAAGTCCATGATACATCACCCCCTGGTACACTTCCTTCCACAGGTATACCATCCCAGTTATTCCTCAGTGAAAGTTTTAGCAATTGCAATGCTATTTTGTGCCTGTGCTGCATCTATGGCCAGAGTGGGGTCCTCACTGACAGCCAGGCAGCAGGTTATTGAGCTCCAAAATCCCATTTTATCACCTCCTTTCTATCTGCCCTGGCACCAGTCGTCACAGGTTGGATTCCCCCTGCAGTAAATTCTGTGATGAAAAGGAGCACGCAGGAAGTCTAAGGGAGCGTAGCTATGAGGGGAATGGAAGGAAGCAAGACTAAGGAAGAAACTGAGCTGCAAAGCAGTCCCAACAAAGCCGCAGCAGACCCCTCAGGGAGCTCCAAATCTGTGACAGCCCTTTTGAATTGCCCTCAAGTTCAGGGGAAGAGCCTCACATTCACATGCCTACAGCAACCAGTCACTGAGTACAGGCTGCCCTAAGAAAAAGGTGTGGCCTTGGACAGGTGGCTTTCTTCAGCAGAGATTAATTTAAGCTCTCAGTTCTGAATAGATCTGGACAGTTCAGAACAGGATCCATGACTATGAGAGCAACAAGCTTTACTGAACTGGGAGAACAGAAATGGGAATCGCCTTTCAAGACGAGAAAGTGCTTGGACAAGAATAACCCTCTTGCTATAGTATGATTGTTTTCTTCATCTATTTAATAGGATTTGATTCTAGTTACAAAGTTTGATCTCACAATAAAAAAATTTAGATATTTTGTTAATGACTTTCATTTTGGTAATAAAATATTTGAACAAAAGTCATTATTATCCTGTGCTTAGAACAAAAAATTGCAGACAGCTTAACCCTTTGATTTTACTCATGCTTTAATAGAATAACATTTGAAAATACACAGATATCCAGGAAAAAGGTAAAGCAGTGCGAGGTATTGAGAGCAAAACTGAGCTTTAATTGGGCCTAAGTTTGTCACTGTAACAACAACCATACTTTTAAACAAACCACGTCCAGCAGCTCTGCCAATGCATCCAGTGGAAATGTTAGAGCTGTACACTTTACACTGTAAAACATGTCAGATATCCACCCTATAAATTCACTGTCTCATCTTTTTTTTTTCATTAAAAAAAGGACATATCTATAATTCACAATCAGTCAGGTGAAGACTTAGGTATGAAATACTGCCTGACAATTTGTTTCTCAAACTGATTTTTTAAAAAGAAAAACAGTGCAATTTATTCTTTAAAGCAACTTTGTAGACATTCGGAACCTAGTTAATTTCATAGTGATGTTGGTTGAATATGATATAAAGAAATGCAAGTACTTTTCTAGGAAAATAGTCTAGATAAAGGAGACTTTAATAATCCACGAGATAAGAATGATAAGACTTCTTTTCTAGGCAGATGATAAAAAGTAAATAAGTCAGGTGTTTTAAAATTTCTATAAAACTTTTTATCCCAAAAGTAATCTTTTTACTATGGTACACAAAATATACTGAATGCATTGCCTGGTGTCAAGGTGGGAAACCCTCTTATTTATATAATAAAATTATCTTCTAGTCCATCCTGACCCAAGTCCTGGTCGTCTGAGGACACAGACTTAAAGTCATCATAAAAAGCATCGTTTCTATCTACTGGTTGGTATTCATGATCCATTCCAGTCAGGGCGTCACTTCCAGATCCTGAGCCAGAGCCAGAGCCAGAATAGTCCTCAGAAAGAGGGAAGACATCATTCAAGTTCTGGGTTCTCGTCATTCTGCAGTAAGACAGAAAAATGAAGGAAAAAAACACACAGTAAAATTGGAGATATATGGAAGGTAATTGAATACATTTTTCCAGCTAAGAAAATAAATGCAGCCACCCAGTTAATCAAATTAAAAGTTTAAAATTTCCCAGTTATTTAATGCTTTAAAACAAAAAAGAAGTTAGACCTTTTCACGTGTTTGCCTATACTTATTTTACGTAATCTACTGCATTTATCAATTCCGCATCTATCCATTGTAAATTCATATAAGCAATGCTAATTTTCTTATCACTAGCAGAGCAATCCTATATTTGGAATTTACTTAAGGGACCCTTTATTCAAAATAAAGAGACCCTTTTTTCCATTTTCTCCCACTAAAGAAAGAACAAACAAGTCAACCCAGACTGATATCATCATTTTCTAATTTAAAATTTCTGCAAAACTTCTGATAATTCACAGTGCTTCACCAAAGCCCACTTGTCAGAAATTTGTTACAAGTTAAGGATTATATTTGCCACTATATTAACACTCAGTTTCCTCTAAAAAAAAAAATAAGTGCATTCTTTCAACTGGGTTTTGTGTGGTGGTTAGAAGTCCACTCAGACAGAAAGCTCAGAGCAATGGTGCCACCTCTCAGTGGCAGAAGGCAGCAGCTAAGTTCAGAGACAAATGTTGAGTTTCAGAGCTTATGGGCCATTTTCTCCATGAAAATAATAAACCACAAACAATGCCACAGAGTAGAGTTTCCTTCATGCAGGCATTCAGTAAATATTTACTGAATATCTGATCTCTGTTCTGAATGCCTGGGATAGAATGGGGACCAGCAGATGAGATCCCTATTCAAGAAACCTATAATTTAGTGGGGAAGGCAGAAAATAAAAAGTGAATAAATCAGGAAAGCATCAGGAGGTGCTAAATACTCTGCAGAAAAATGAAATATCTCAATGCAATAGAGGGTGAAATATCTCAATGCAAAAACTAGGTGACTAGTTTATACTGTGGGGTCAGGGAAAGGGGGTCACAGCTGGAAACATCGATTTGGTAGTTATTCACATAACACACACACACACACACACACTATTAAGATACGTGGAACAGGATGAGGTCCTCTGAAGAAGGCATGCAGATAAAGAGGCCCAGGACAGAGCCAGGGCCACACCCACATATCAGAGCAGAGGAGGAAAGAACAGCCAGGGACATGGAAGGAAACGCAAGGTAAGATGGGGCCACTCAAGCTCAGAGAAGAAAGCATTTCAAAGGAGGGGTGATCAGCTTGTTTCTAAAGGTATTTAAGAAGTCAAGTAAGCTAAACATAGAGAAGTAACAAGTGGCTCTGTCAGGAGTCACTGTGATCTTAACCAGCCCACTGGGTGGAGGAGACCCAAGCAGGTGGGGTTAAGGAGAGGAGGGGGAGACAGCAAGCCCAGCCTGCCCTTTCAGGAGGAGCTGCTGGGAAGAGGAGCGGAGAGTAGGGCGATAGCGAGAGAGGATGCAGAGTCAAGGAAGGGATTTTATCTGAATGTAGGAGATAGGAGAGACTGCACGCTGAAGGGAGGAAGGTGCCAGGTTCAGAGGGGTAATTGCAGAATTGAAGTTCTGGATGTGTGGGGACAGTATACCCGGCACAGGAGGAGTGGCTTCAGAAGCTGCCACAGCCAGAGTCCAATCAGGGAACATATCTAACTATTTAACACAGAGAACTGCTTACACCTGTGATGGAAGAGAAGCGAAGCCAAGTGAGGGACAGTGAGGAAACCCAGAAATAAGCAAGAAAACACTTCCCTGCCTGGGTGAGATGTTCAATGGAAGGAGGTGGTGTTACTTGAGCCCAGGGACTAAGGGCATCGGGTGGGAACTAGAGCCATGGATGAGACACAGCCCCGCCAGGGGAGCCAGCCAGGGTAGGGGGTGAGATGGAGAAGCGGCAGCATCCCCCTCTGCCTCCCACGCTCTCCAGTCTCCTTTCCATGCTCCCCGTTTGGCCAAACTCAGCCACAGCTCTGGCAGCTTGAGAAACGCAGACCACAGATCAGCCCTCACCTCCCCACCCCACCCCAATACAGAGCAGAGAAGGGGAGGGACAAGATGGCCTACACAGAAGTAAGGACTGTTCATTCCTGCGACTGGAGTGTCAGAGTGAGAAGGGAAGTTACCGGTTGTGATCACTGAGGAAAAATCATTGAGATTCGAGGAGAGAAGAAATGGAGTGAAATGGTTGTTTTGGGGAACTTGGGTTATTCCCCTAACATTTTAGATTTAAACAAATCACTATTGAAACCTATAATTTAAAATAATGGAGGATCCTGTAAGATCTGTTCAAGGTTAATGCCATGGGCTTAAAGTACAGGGGCAGGACTGCAGAGCTTCATTTGGAGGACGGCGGCAGTGGAAGCTCTTACGCAGTGAGTACAGTGATGAAGATGGTCACCGGGACCTCCGAGGTCACGATGGACCTACTGGGTTTGCGAGTGATGAGCTACCTGGCTTTGAGGAAAGTAATTTTTTAGCTTTAACTGTGAGGATTAAAACTTTTATGATGATCCTTTGAATAATTCATTTTTGCTCTGTGTTATGTAATTTTGATATCCATTGAAATAATGGATGCTAATGCAATTCACTTTTTTGTTACTTATGAGTTCCTACTGAACTTTTTTTGCAAGTATAAAGTGGGTTTTATTTGATCAAGAAGAGAGGTTCGGTTTTCTTTTTGTAAGTCATGGCCATTTATTTTTCCTTTCCCTAATTTCTTCGTTTTTTCAAATCACCTCTCTCTAATTCCAGAACATTTTTATCACTGCCCCCCTCCAAGAACCCAATACTTGTTAGCAACTGAATTGCTCTTTATCCCTCCCTTCCCCCTAGCCCCTGACAACCGCTAATCTATTTTCTGCCTCTATGGATTTGTCCATTCTAGACCATTTTCTATAAATGGAATTATATAATATGTGGCTTTTTGTGTCTGGTTTCTTTCACTTTGAGTAATGTTTTCAGGATTCATCCATTCATATCAGTACTTATCTCTTTTTATGATTAAATAATATTATAATTTAGGATATACACATTTTATTTATCCATTAAATTGATGAGATTTTATTAGATTTTAGTATTTATTGTATTCAATTTACACAAATAAAATAATATCCGATCATTTTCAAACCTATTGGTGAAAACTATTTTCACCAATTTTCACAAATTTTTCACTCAATTTTTGTTTCTCCCACAATGGAGACTTTGCAAAAGAATACCTGAACTGTGTATTCTTACACACCTCATCTACCAGTGAATATAGTACAGTTTTACCATGTATTGTGCAGAGAAAACCAAACCATCAAAGCAAAAACCTGAAGAAACACTCTAGATGCCCCTCCTGCTTCCATGCCAAGATCATAACAGAGATTGGTAAAAGTAAAAGTAGAGCAAGTCCACTTACTGAAAAGGGTCAGTCCTTGGAGGGAGTATTCTGTTGGATTCACCTGGAGGTAAGTCGAACATCGGTCCCTTTTCATCAATGCAGTTTGCAGAATTACTGTCGGGATTACAGCGAACCCACTGGTACCTGGCTCTCTGCACAGGTAAACCTGCCCAAACAAGCAACCCACGTGGTTAATAAGCATCCCTTATATAACTTCTAATCTCACTGTCCCTAAGAAATGTTTAATAAATAGATTCTAAATTTGGTAGAAGGTAAGATGTAGACAGGTTTTATGACCATTAATACAGCAGGAGCACACACTGTATGCCAGCCTTTTATATATATTATTTGTCCATCTCACAACACCCTTACAAAGTAGCCCAGAGCTGAAGGTTAGAATAGGCGTTGCCAATCAGCTGCCTGGAGTAAAGTCCCAGCTCTGCTACTGATGACCTGAGAAACTCTCACTTCCCTGAGCCCTCACTGTAAAATGAAGATACCAATAGTGTCTCTTTTTCATACGCTGGTCACAAAAATTAAATCAGAAATGCATGGAAAAGACCTTAACATAGTGCCAGGCACACAGTAAACACTTGATAATATTAATATGTTCACACTATTATATCCATTTTGCACAAAGGAAAACTGAGGCCACACAGGTGCTAAGTAGAGGACCTGGGATTCAAACCTGTCCCTGACCCCTAAGCGTGTCTGTTCTTATAGAGATGAGTGAAATCATGCTCAGAAAGGTTAAGGAACATACCGTGTACCCGACATATTATAGAACCCTAGTTCTTTAGGGCAATATAGTGTTCTTTGTAATGAAAAGTAGCCAAAAACTTGGCCTATTTTTTTGCCCTCCAATCTAGTCAGAGATTTCAAAAGAACAAGACTCCTCTTCACAGTCAGGTTGGAATACCCTAGTCTATCATAGCTTCTTTTGAGTTTAATATCTGTGCAAAAGGCTCCACATCTGGTGTTTTGAGATTATAGAGGAGATCCTTAATTAGTTCATTGAATTCTTCATTCCTCAACTTAGCAAGGATGGTGGTAAGAAGTACTTCACCCTTCAAGGGCTTCATCTCCTCCCCACCCCAAGCACATGCATTATTCACACAAGTGCAACTAATAATCACCTAGCAAGAAGGGGTGTGTCTAAAATCCTTTTTCTAATTATAGTTGACATAAAATTCTTGAAAAGCAGGAAAGGTGGTTTTAAAGGCCAGCACATTGTTGTCCTGTACAGATCAAAATGTAAATGAAACAACTATTTAAGGAAAAAAAAAAAAAAGACAGTGCTATGGACAATCACTGCAGCATGTTTTATGGTAGGAAAGACTGGAAAATTAAATGTTAAATAAATTAAGGTACAGTCTACAATACTATACAGTTATAAAAAGAATGAAGCAGCTCTCTGGGTACAGATATACAAAAATCTCCAAGGTATATTTTTAAGTAAACAAAAAAAAAAAAGTAAGAAACACTATGCATTGTATGTTACCACTTCCCAGTGTTTGTGTTTTTAAGAATATATTTACATATATGCTTACAAGCAGGGAACACCTCTGAAAAGATATACTGCCGACTGATTGCCTTTGTGGAGGGAATTGGTGGCTGGAAGACTGTGGAAGGAAGACATTGAGTTCACTGCATCTTCTTGTGAACCTTTTGATTTTTGAGCCAATATGTTTGCACTGTCCAAAACCGTTTTGTTTTTTTTTTTAACAGCTTCATTAAGATGGAACTGACATACAATTAGCTGTATATATTTAAAGTGTGCAATTTAATATTTTGACATACAAGGTCTGTCCAGAAGAATCCAGCCATGTAGTATGAAAAATAGAGACATTTATTAAAGCAGATTCAAGATACAAGAAATATGTGCATGGGACAATGATGCCTCAGTCCCCTTCAAAGTAGGCACCTTAGGACCTCACACAGTTCTCCCAATTGTTATAAGCTGCCCCGTCATATCTTCCTTACTCTTATCACCAGTCTGAAATCTCTTCCCTTTCAAAGGTGATTTTAATTTTGGGAAAAGCCAGAAGTTGCAGGGCACCAAATCTGGTCTGTAGAGAGGCTGAAAAAAAGCAGACTACCACTCTGTATGTTTTGATGTTTCACCAAAAAACTGTATACGAGATATGATGTGTGAGTAGGCATGTTGTTGTAATGAAGCTGCCAATCACCAGTTGCCCATAGCTGCGGCCTTCTGAATCATCTGAATTGTTTCTGCAGAGGAATGTTCAAGCTTAACGCAAAATTTGACGCAGATTTGTTGCTCTATCGGCTCAGTCCTTTTGAATGCATTGGCCACACAGTAAACATGCTCACTCAATGGCGTCTACTGCCCCCACTGACTAGTAGGTGAAGTTGTCACTGTTCATGCATACACATTTCAGTCCACTCTCCTTGGCTGCCAGGTTGCATCGATGTCATGCAAACTGTTCTCATTATATTAACAGTGGCTGGACTTTTTCCGGACAGACCTCGTCTATGTGTACTCCTGTGGAGCCATCACTGCAATCAGGAGTACAGACGTATCCAACACACCCCAAAGCTTCCTTAGGCCCTTTGTAATCTTGCCCTTCTTCCTCGCTCCTCATGATTCCAGCTCTCCACCCCCTAACCATTAATCCTCTGTCTGTCATTGTACATTAGTTTGTATTGTCTAGAATTTTATATGAATGGACTCACACAGCAACTTGTCAAAGGGTTTCGTGACTTTGTTTTAACTCAGGGACTAGTAAAGAAGGGTCTCTACCTTTTATAGTACTCTCCCGGAAATGGAGTCTACTTAGAGATTCCTTACATCTCAACTACTTTTGTTGCAATTTTAAAAAATAACATGTTAGAAAAAAATATGTGTTTATTATAGAGAACTTTGAAAAATGTAGCAAATGAAAGGGAAAATTACCACTTATCTCATTATCCACCTCTCCAGAGATCATGGATTTTGGGGTTTTGCTTTTCTTTCCCCTCAGTATCTGTATTTCTAAGAGAGTATGCATAAGTTATATCCCATTCTCTTCTGACAGCAACTATCAGGGATTGAAAAGTGGAGCTTCTTCTGAGGTCTAGTTCACATTACATCTCAATGGGATGGCCAAGAACTTGTTCTCAAAAGACTGCAGAACCACTGAACTTTTCCAAAATATCCTCGTCCCTCATTATGTTCCTTTTCCTCATGACTATTATCTCTATCCTCAACTTTTTTCTAGCTAGTATTTATGATTAATTTCATAAATACAACATTGCCAAGTTATCATTTAGATATACATGATACATGTTTATATGTGTCTATAGAGAAATGTGTAATAGATAAAATATAAAAAATACATGAAACTGTTCACTTCAGTATTATTCAAAATAGAGAAATAACTAAGTAATCAAAACAATGGAAAGTACTCAAATAAATTATGGTGCATTCATATGAGAGAATGTTAACCAAATGGTAAAAAAGTAGTTGGTTATGGAAAAAGACTATGTAATATCATAGGAAAATCTTTTAAAATGAGTGAAAAAAAGCAGACTACCACTCTGTATGCATAATAGTTACTGTAACTACATGAACATATATGAAAGGAAGTGGGAGAAAATTCACAAAAATAAGTAATGGTAGACTGGTGATTTTTTCTCACTTATTGTCTAAATTGTTATAATAAACATTTCTTTAAAAATAGAAACAAAAGCAAGATTCTAATGTAGAAAAAGGTAAATAGTCTCCTCTTTCTTTCCATCCTTCCTTCCTTCGGAATCACTATTCCATCGCAATCTCCCCCATGGTTCCTGAACACAATGTCTGGTCTGGGACAGCTAGCCTTTTAAAATGAATTAGCTCTGTCACTGCCTGGGGGCTGAGGATAAGGTAGCAAGAAGGCATCACAATGTCTGCCCCTTACCAGCTGTGACCTTGACCAACTTACTTAACCACCCTGTATTTCAATTGCCTCATCTATAAAATGGGGACAGAAGTCGATCTAATAATGAGATATAAATATTAAGTTTTTAGGATAGCACCATGGTCAGAATTCTTTAAGAGCTAGTTTCTCTGGTTAGGAGACCAAAGACCTATCTCTGATAGAGAACAGCTTGTGGAGAGACCAGAATTTAAATTATCGTTCCACCATTTTCATGCCTCTGTCTGATTCTCAATTTTTCATCTTTCAAGTGTGAATAATAGCATCCCAAAGAGTTCCTGTTTAAGCAAGATAAAAATTTGTGAAACATGTAGCACAAGCATAAGGTAGGTATTTAATACATCTTACCTCTTTCTTTCTCCTCTGATTCTTTCCTGAAGCAGGCTAAATTTGGAATCTAATTACTACTTAGAAGCCTAACCTTGTAGGTGGCAGGGCAGCAACATTGCCACCAGCAGAGGGCACTATATTCACACCCTATGTTTCTAGACCAGCTAATCTCAACTGGTGCTGGCAAGAATTTTAAAACATGCAATCAATACCTGACTATTTAGTCAGGGGCAATGACCTCTTTTCCCTTAGATTGTCAAATTAAAAAAATATGACAACAGCCAACACAACAATGGCTGTCACGTGTGAGTGAATGAAAATTATACCTATTTTTTGTCAGATTGGCATAAAATTTTTTTTGGAGTGCCACAGAATTTTAGTAGTTAGTTTATGTGTGCCATGAAATGAAAAAGGTTGCAAATCACTGGTCTAGACCAACACTGTCCCATAGAAAGACAGGATGAAACCACGTATCGAATTTTCAATGTTACAGCAGCCATATTTTAAAAAGGAAAAAGAAACAAAAGAAATTCACTTTAATACATTTTATTTAAACTAACATATACAAATTTTGTTATTTAGCATAATCAATATAAAAGTTATTGTAGGTTTTTGACACTCTGTTTTTCATACTAAGACTTCAGAGCTGGTGTATATTATGCACTTAAAGCACGTCTCAATTTGGACTTGCCTCCATTATACACATTTGAAGTGCTCAGTAGTCACAAGCGGCTCATGACTACCATTTCGGACAGAGTAGGTCCAGGCAGTCTCCTCTATGTGTGGCTGATGCACCGGATATCAAGTCAAAGAACTATTTGCAGAGATAGAATGTTAAACAGAAAAGTAAATCTCGTACTTTATGAGGAAGAATCCAGGTGACTGACCACATCTTTTCTCTGGTATAACAAATAAAACATTGATAAATTAATTTTTTAAAATCTAAAATACAAAATTTTCCCGAGTTCAGAGTCTCAGCTTTTAAAATTTATAAAGGGGGTTTCTTTTGGGGAGTGACAAAATGTTCTGAAATCAACTATGGTGATGGTTGCGTGTATCTGTGAATACACTAAAAATCATTGAATTGTACACTTTAAGTGGGTGAATTGTATGGCATGTGAACTCTATTTCAATAAACCTGTTTTAAAATTTATAAAGAAATTAAAGGTAGAAGTCACCCCCTACTCCAAAAGTTTATCTGATTTGGGACTGATGCTTGTAAATCTGCACTAAAATAAAGGACATGGTCACAGACACATAGTTGTGGACCTACCTATCTGAGGGGGTGGGTGGGATGTGGAAATTCAACAGTTCCAGCCTCTGATGCTGTGGGGGTATCTTGACTCTCTCTTGCTTAACAGAAATATTTTGTGACTACCATATTTTAAAAAATAAAAGGGAGTGTGCTCATGAACAAAAAGATTGATTATCTTCCTGAAAGGCCCCACTTACTGGATCTGATGGTTGATTTTGTTGATTTTGTTGTGGATTCTGGAGCAGAGAATAGTTTCTATTTAGAACCCTTTTCCCTCATTACCCACCGGCCCTCTTCTCTCTTCTCTCTCTGCCACTTGTCCTGCTTCACCAAAATACTTTCCATAAATAAACATTACCAGAGCACATAACTCACCCCAGTAAGCTCTCTGCATCTTTTTATATTGTGGCACCAATTTTCCCCTAACATCATCAAGATTTACTAATTTCCTGTTCGTAATAGGGACTCGTTGCAGGTGTGTTAGAGAAACCTCAGCATAAACTGCCACGAGAGGAGGGGAAAAAAGAAGATTTTGATGCACTGTTTGGCAGCACCCAAACAGACCTTACAATCTAAGCTGGAGTTACTTCCTACTGACAGTCAGTTGTACAATAAGGAGAAGAGTCCCCACCCTTGAATTGTTTCACAAGCTATATAAAGTATCAAGTTAACTTTCAATTTCTAGTCAAAACCAGATTTTTGTTTCAAATAAAGAAAACCTCTATTTTACCAGGAAGATAGCCAGACTCCAGTAGAAAGTTAACTGACCTTGAAATCAGACAAGCTCTGCCATTACTTGGTTGTAATGGGCCTTGGGCAAGTCTCATAAATTATTTGCAAAAGGTTGATGTAAAGACCAAATGAGATGATGAGTGTATGATGCAGTTTTCTCCTCTCTAAATTGGTATTAGTTCCTCATCACAGGGAATGTGATGATCATTTACCAGAGAATGGATATGAAAATCCACCACAATCAAACAGCAGCACACATGGGTGGAATCAGTAGCATTACTGTGATCTAGGAGACAGTGTGGAGTGGAAACATGCTCCGGCCCTGACCCTCTTGACCACACATGCTCATGGATTTTCCCATTTCTCTCTTTATGAGCATCTTCAAAAGAGAGAAGCAATAAAAGGATTTAGGATTCACAGGCCTTATCAATAATCGATCCCCTGGAGCTCTCTACATTAAGTTGATCAGCCACCAGTGCTCTCAATGGTCTCCCACACATTGCCAAGCTTCCATTGCTTTGTCTCTGTAGACAGTTTTATACCGTGTCCTTACTTGGGTTTGACTTGTAGTAACTGATAAGGGCTGAACTGTGTCCCCTAATTCGTATGTTGAAGTCCTAACTCCCAGTACCTCAGAATGGGACTGTATTTGGAGATAGGGCCTTAAAAGAAGTCATTAAAGTAAAATGAGGTCATATGGATGGGCCCTAATCCAATATGACTGGTGTCCGTATAAGAAGAGGTGATTGGGACACAGATGTACAGAGGAAAGATCATGTAAAAACACAGAGAGAAGACAGCCAGCTATCAGCCAAGGAGAGAGGTTTCAGAATGAAATTCATCTTGATCTCAGACTTCTAGCCTCTAAAACTAAAGGGAAATAAATTTCTTTTGCTTAAGTCATTAGTCTGTGGTACTTTGTTACGGCAGCCCTAGCAAACTAATACAGTAACCTAAGATGTTTTGAATTTGTTCAGTAAGTAAGCGAAAGCCTAGTAAATTTGATCAGTTCAGTCAAACCAATGGGTTAAGTAAAAAAACTTTAAAGGTGGGGAAAGATTGTTGTTGAATCATATCAGGCACCATGTGGCTGTACAGCGACATAGTGATGTGGCCCTTTGCATTGCAGCTTTGAGCTGCTGTCACTCACACACGCTGTGTGGGCGGGCATCTAGTTCCCTTCTTATTCGGAAGTGGACACAAACCTTTAAATCCGAGGGTTCTTTGGAAACACCCTAATTTTTCTGGCCATTCCTGCTCTCTTTTTTTGGTTTCTTTTCCTACCAATAGCTAAACCTACCTAGGTGATGGCATAAATGCTAGTATATTATACAATTAGAATGGTTTCTTTCTTGTTTCACTTTGTTTTGATGACTACCTACTACATAGGAACAGTTTAGTTTTAATTCTAGTTTTACCTATTGAATCTTAGTGGGGAATGTGACATTTCTGGGAAATATGGACGATGCAAAAACTTATACAGTTCTGGGCAGGGTAGACCCAGCGCCACTGGTCACTCTAATCTGTGCAACAGACATGCGTCTCTCTGCTCTGGATCTTGGGAGGATACATGGGATTATTCCATCCAGCTAAAGATATTCCCTAAAAGATCCAAGGAAAGCCTGTTCCCTACAATTAACAATATTTATACTTTAAAAAATAAATAGATTATTGGAAAAGTTTCAGCAACATTTCTTGCCGTTTGTTCTTCAATAATTGCATAACAAGAAAAAATTATTTTAGAAATTTGCAATACGTAATTAATGTATCTGAGGTCATCTGTACGATTTCACTTCTGCAAGAAGTAAAAACCAAACAACTAGAAGTTACTTCTAAGAAACAAATCCGGGACATGTGTGTCACCGTGACTCAATATTTCCTTTACGATTTAAGGAAACTTAATGTTTTTCTAATATAAATTCTCCCATCTATTTATCAAGCCATGACCTTCTTCCTTATTTAAACAGGATCTTCTATTTACCAAAAGAGCAGACATTGTATATTTCTTAGAAACTGATCTTTTTTGTTTTCTTATTTATTCAAGATTTTAAGTTGTTTCAGTCTGACTAACCAACCCTAAATGACAGAGAAACCTAACAAGGAATTTCCCAATGTGATGTTTCTCTGAGCAAACAACAGCACAAATACTAAAATTCTTTGGTCTCTCTTCAAAATCTGAGAGGATTTTAATAAATTATGCCTAACCGTAATTGAATTTTCACTAAGAATCAAGTTAAAAAAGAAGAAAAAATACACACAGTCAAACTTACCCTGATTATAACACTGAAGAAAATAAATATACTTAGGTTTTCCACTTCCTTTTACATTCACTATAAATAGTCCTTATAAATGACTATTAATTTTAAGTTAATTGATATATTACATTTCTAGGTGACTTTTTTTTTTTTTACTTTATATTTCCAATGACTGGCCTTAGAAAGATTTTACACTGAACATATTCCCTGTGCAGGATTTGAAAAGAAAGAAAAACCTAAAAAGGTAATATGGGTATTTGAAAAGCTTTTGGAAAACCTTTCTGATGTGAAAGGATCTATTGATTTTTATTAAGCTTTCCTTTGCCTCTTAATACAAGGTGTATTAATGGGATACAAGTATATCAATATATATAACTACTTTTTGTGATATACAGGGAACTCTTCTCTACAGTTTAGGTATTAATTAAAAAGACACTCCCTAGTTTCTTGTCTTGATTTTGCTGAGGATTAGTATGATTTCAGTAAGCAAACTTTTTTTTATTTTTTTTTTAGTGTTTTTTTAAATTTCTTTTTCTTGCAACAATGACAGTGCACGTTTTCAATAATACAGGAAGGTCCAGATAAAAGTAGTAACTTAAAGATCTTGCTGTACTTAAAAAAATGATCATGTAGTCCTTTCAATATTTGAACTGCTAGGTAATGATGTCTATAGGGTCATCTTTTTTATCTCATAGAAATAAATAGAACACTTTAAATGTGTAAACATTTTAGATAATGTTACTATAAATGTCTGTTTTAACATAATTTAAGTTGTAGCTATGTCATGGGAAATATTTAAAAGGTAATTTATATTCACAGTGACTATACTGTGCTTTTTAAAGTTTGTATACAACAGATGTACATGTTTGGTTTGGCAGAAGCTACTATTGTAATTTTTTGGCATTTTGTTCATAAAGAATTTTTTGAAGGAATGGTAACTTCTCAGGAATGGTGAATAAACACATTTTTACATTTTAAAAACTAAAAAAAAATTTACTCTGATTAAAAACTAGCATATCCTAGTGTTACAATAATTATGACACCACTGTAATGCATTAGAACTTGGGACAGATATAGACACTCAGGAGTAGGTAGATGCCCCAAAGCCTCAGAGGTGCCATCTCCTCAAAACAATGGGTCATTATTCCTCTCTGAGCTTTTAAGAATTTATAAACCATACATTTTCATCCAAAGTCAAGTAGTGCATTTCAATCATTGTAAGAGTTTATAAGGCTGCATCTGCCTGAGAGTTTAATTTTTCTTGATATCAAACTTAACCAAACTCATACGAAGAAGTTCAATCACCACAAATACTTCTTTTCCTATTTTTCGGCAGTGTAATACATTCTGTACCTGAAAGTGAATATAATCATTTGTGTGGACCCCAGCGCTTACAAAGGAGATTATAGGGGACCACAGTCCTGGGGCTTACCTTGAACTGAAGAACCCAAAACCAGGATAAGGGCGAGAGCCAGAGCCAGGGCCAGCCGGCTGCACGGGAGAAGCACAAGCATCGTGACCAGCTCACTTCAGCTCTTCCGCCTGCACGTCAACCCCACGATTAGGAAATGTAGCAGGGTGCTCTCTGCCCCTTTTAGAAAGGGCTCTAAAACCTCAGACCCTGCCCAGAACACACGTCACGATTTCCTGAACAAATAGAGATCCACCAAAAAAAAAAAACAAAACCCAGAAAGATTAAAAAAAATAAAGCCGCAAAATAACTATTCATACCCATTATGAAACTGCACTACTCTCCCCAGGCCTAGGTTTTCAAAAGCTTTGTTGTTTGCCATTTGCCTATCAGAAATTTTTTTTTCCCACTGAAACAGTAGAATCAGCATTCAGTACAGTTTGTTTTTTCTTTCTTCAGGTAACAGTCTAAACAGGAAATTGCTAGCATTGGCGTCCACTGCACAGTTGATGAGATAAGGGAACTAGGTACCGCTTTTTTTTTTTTATCACTGAATACTTTCCATATAAAATATTCTTAATTTTCTTTTTCTTCAGGAGTAGCATAACTCACTGAGTCAAACTCAAGAAGTGAAGCTTCAAAGCTGAGTTCTAATCTACAAGAAAGTGTTGTCAGATTTCAAATAATCAGTTCCTTCTTCTTGGGCTCAGCTTCTCCTGTTGAATCACAGGCTCTTCCTCTAGCTCAAGAATACAGTATTTTCTGTTACAAAGAACTGGGTAAAACAAATATGATTTTGCATTCTTACACTCCTTCACACCAAGTACTTCTTATGATTTGATGCCATTTAAACTTTCCTCTTTTCCCCTGGTAAAAAATTTCAACTTGAGGTTTGGATCTTCTGGCCTAGAATGAGCCAAAAATCAGAAACAAGAGGAGGCTGTCCTCAGTGAGCTACTGGACCTCAGAAAACACACAATCCATTGCCCCTGTAAATGAGGCAAAAGCATTTTCCCAGGTCCCAGGGATGGTGTGCAGACTTTGGTGGACTGAGGAGCACCAGGTACAGATAAACACAACAGTCTATCACAAGTTCTTGCCCTTGGGGCACGTGCTTTTTCCTCACTCCTGTTCAAGATTCAGCCAAGCTCCCTTTCCATGCCCCCACTTGCCACCTCATCCTCACTCTGGCCTGTCCTTTGACAGGAGGGAGGAGTTTCCCTTCTCTTGGCTTCGGCTTCCTGCTGATTCCTTTACCATTTCCTGCTAAGGACAGGCCTCAGCGTCTAATCGCTGAGGGGCTGTGGTGCAAGTCCACAGGGTTATGAAGAATGCACATTTGACCCTCCTCCAGCTGGAAGAGTGTCCAGGAGCCCCTTTGAGTGCAGTAACCAACCCCAAACTCCCAAGCCCAGTGAATTTCCCACCATGGAATATTGCTTTATGCTTAAAAGAACAGCCCTCATGTTTGCTCCCTTTTAATCTTATCCCCCACTTTAAAACCCTGGCACCAAAACCATAATCCCTGTCAATAACTTCAATTAATTCCCTGCAAAATGTCAGAGCTGATTAGAACTTGTGCTTAAAATGGTATTTTTGGAGTCTTTTTCCATTTGGGTACTTCATTTTTTTTCCTTCTCTGGGTTGTGATTTTTTTTTTTTTTTTAAATTTTTGCAGCGTTTATAAGCATTTGCTCCTCCGCCAGTACACTGACAAGCAAGTTTGTTTTTTTCAAACAGCCTTCCTCCAGTTTCCTTTCCCTGGTTCTCTTCAAGCTGTAGACGAATGGAACAGATGCCAGCAGTGGCCAGAAACCTGGTTCAGAGCTTGTCTCCCTCACTTCCCAGCTGAGACATGCTGGGCCACCTACGCTTTACATCCCATCATCCTAGGTCTAATGATGCGGTGGGGAACCTGCGGAGGATGCCCACGAAAGCTCCTGGCACACACTGCAAGGGTCGCATGGGCAGTGCTCTTCTGGGCTGGGTACCTTCTTCTCGCCCAAAGTTTCCTCCATTAACCAAAGAGGACCCCTATCTTTCTCTAAACCTTAGCCCCTACAATAAGCATATTTTCCATAATTTCAAGACATATTCTATCCCAGGCTTAATCCTTTATTTACCAGGCAACTTAAGTGTGCCATAATTTACACCCCATTAATTTGCTTGTAAAGTGGATATCTTTATTTCTTTACAATTACCCTGTAACAGCACACTGATCAGTTCCTTGTATAAGAGCGTAATTTACCCCCTCTACCCCCAAACCATGTAAACATCACTTGTTAGTAGATACTGGCTTCAGAATGGTCTTTTTCTTTTTTAAAATATTTTATTTATTTATTTTTAGAGAGAGGAGAAGAGAGGGAGAAACTTTGATGAGTGCAAAAGATACATCTATTGGTTGCCTCTCACAAACCCCAACTGGGGACCTGGCCCGCAACGCAGACACGTGCCCTGACTGGGAATTGAACCGGCAACCTTTTAGTTTGTAGGCCAGCACTCAGTCCACTGAGCCACACCAGCTGGAACAAGATGGCCTTTTTAAAAGAAGGATCTGTCTGGAGCTCTTGAACCTTCTCAGCCTCACAACTCAGCAGAACACTTTTCAGAGGAACTGAGGGTGTGAGATAATGTTGGTGCACGAAACTACTCTGAGGAATGCGTCCAAGGCTCACTCGTTTTTTAAAGCTCCAAGTTAAAGATTCTGCCACTCAGCAGCCTCTGGAATGTGAAGACTGGAAAGGTCTTGACTGTGACTTGGGCACTGTCCCAAAAAGGCAAACAGCAAATAGATCCTGTACCAAATCTGTATATCCCTGAAGCCTTAAAGGATGATGCATGCAAACATTTTTTATTTCTAGAACTTGGAGTGACCTTAGAAATCATCTACTTCACCCACTCAGATGGGAAATATTCAAGTCCAGAAAGGTACGTGACTTACCATTGGTTACACAGCTGGTGAGAGGCAAAACCGGGTCTAGAAGTCAAGTTACCTGATTCAAAGGCCAATGACACATGAAGAATGATGAGAAAACAAGACTAAGATTTATAAATCATCAGAGTTATTCCTTTTAGTCATTTTACTTTTTAGGGGTCCATACCAAAGTATTTCTATTTGGAATGATAAAATGGCTGGTATTTGCTTTTGAATAATTCATTCTGAGGAAGGGGGATAAGAGAGGTATGAAAGCGGACACTTAATTGCCGAAGCTGAGCAATGGATAGATGGAAGTTCATGATATTAGTCTCCCTGCTTTAATATATGTTTGAGAATTTCCATAGTAAAACACTTTTTAAAAATCAACCTTTTAAAAGGGTACCTTTATCTTATTTGATGTCCATATAAATACAAAAACATCTAACCATAAAAGGGACCTTGCAGGGAAAAAACTGTTTTCTTCCAAAAAGTGACTCCTTTATTCATGGGTCTCATCACCTTTGAGTTCCCCATTCTTTCACTTCTACTCTCGTTCTTATCTCCTCTCCTTTAGTGGATGGAGACACTGTGACCAAGACAGAAAAGCATCCTGACCCTTCTGGCTCAAGGGAGCCGGCACCATTGTGTCCTTAGTCCCGTCACTGAGTATCAGCGGACGGGCGCTCACAGGATGGGTGCCGTGGAAGAGGACACAGGCCCCTGAGCATCCCCGGCTGAGCCAGTGGCTCCTTCCCTGGCTCCTCCCTCCTCACAACGGTGGCCACACATCCAGTTTGCCAAAAGCAGGATCCCCCTCTTGTTGAAGGCTTCCACGGCCCTAGTCCAGAAGCCTCCCCAGGCGATGCCAAGTACATAAAAGTTTGGGAATTTCACTGTTTTAATCTTGGATTGGGAGTGGGGAAGGAAAAGAGCTCCTCTGCCATATTTTGGGTCTACAGTCTTACAAGAAGAAAAACTAGGGACGTACAACACATAGGAAATCTCTGTACCTTCTGCTCAATTTTGTTATAAACCTAAAACTGCCATAAAAATGAATTTTTTTAAAAAAAATAAAAGACAGAACGCTTCTCAAATGCTACCGTAAGTCTAGCAGAATATGACATTCCAATTCCAAAATTATAGGTCTTTGAAAAACCAAAAGTTGCAATGGAAGAGCCACATGCTGAATGTTGTTGATGTAAATAACTGGGAACATGGGGCTGTGTTACTTCTCTTGGGAATATTTTCACAGGGGTCAAAAACATTGGAAACAAATCTCAAGGAAAATTTTAGACATGAGAGAACAGGAGTAGACATGTAGGTTAGGGAGAATCAAACCCTTTGAAAGTAAATCACAAAAGGAGGTCTTTATTTGACTTCTTTAGTCTTACCTTTTTTCTAAGACATACTATCTATCAATATTACTCTAAATTATTTTTTACATCTTTAGTAAATTATATTTTTAAATGTTTCAATCACAGTTTACACTCATTATTTTGCATTAATTGCAGGTGTACATTGTGGCTAGACAATCATATACTTTACAAAGTGTTCTCCCTGATATTTCCAGTACCCAACTGGTACCATATATAGTTACTACAATAGTATTGACTACTGCCATAAATATTTTCAGATTTAAATATGCTGTATATATTTTCAAATTTAAAAATTAATAATGCTTACTGTGGAAAAGTGGGCACTTGGGGAGTGTCAAGAGAAGACTTTGAAGACAAATCCTCATCACCTTCCATCGAGAGCTTACTGCTGCCATAGCCTGCCTTTGGTGATTCAAAGTGACACATACTGCTTGCTAGCACACTGGGTTCCTTCTCATCTCCTCTTATTGCTTTTATTTTATACCTTACCCCCTGGCAGTGCCTGGCCCCACAAATGTCCCCAGAACTAACTAGGTTGTTGATTCCAGCCAACTGTAACCCATCCATCAATTCATCATCTCCGCAGATAGGCAAACTGCCCAAGTGTCCAAACTCAGTGATGCTATTTCTTAGGTTTCACAACCAACGGCACTCCTACTTCCCAAAACACATACTAAAATTCCACTCATATAGTTGCAGTTACACTTAAAGTTATTGGTCACTAAGGAAGAGAAAAATTCTCACCCCTTAATTTGTAACCACAGAGCATCAACTACGTCTGCAATGGCTCTGTCAGTTTCAAGACTCCAAGGCTGACCACAGTTATCAGTTAAGCTGCTACACTTTAGCTGCTTCTTATTCTTTGTCAGGCTCTAGGCTCTTTTTC